ATTGCTTCTTATGTTCATGCCTAGAAAGTCCTCCCTGATGTCATGTTCCACCCTCTTTCCCTCCCCACTGTCCCCATTTAGTCAGTCTGTGCTGAACTCATCATGAAATCATTAGGTTGTCTTCTTCGTTAGTCTTAAACTTATGCAAAAAAAAGATTGTGCATTTAAAAAAAAATCTTTTGTAACTATAGCACTATGGCTGGCACATAGGAGGTATCAATGAATGAATTACATGTACAGATAAGGAATTATAATTCTTTCTGCTTTATTTATCCCTATAAAAGAATGGGAGAAAACGAATGACTATGACTTCTTAGCAGTCAAAAATGTATCTGGGGGAATGCAGAGGCCCCCTTAATCTCTTTTAGAGAGGTAGAAAGATACAGAATTTGGTAAAAGGATTTCATAGTACAAGGAATTCATGAAAGCATTGTAATGTTATCACTGCCTTGAGTTGGTATGTACTTATAAATAATTTATATTCAATTTTAGATTGCAGAGGAGGGATCCATCATTTCATGTGTGGTGGAGAGAACCAGGGGAGCTCTGGATTATGTGCGTGTTTTTTACACCATCTCACAGATCGAATCTGATGGCATTAATTACCTTGTTGATGATTTTGCTAATGCCAGTGGAACTATCACATTCCTTCCTTGGCAGAGATCAGAGGTAAACCCTTCCTTCTTTGTTTCTTTGAAAGCCTCCTGGAAAGCTTTTCCTGATGTGTTTGTTCTGTAATTTCTTGGCAGCTTCTTGCTATTTAAGCAACTTGAAATATTTAGGAGATTACGTATATATAATTGTATAAAGTATTTTTGTATTTCTTTATGCAAAAGGAAAATTAATTTTGCATAATATTTTGAATAACATGTGTTATCATTTTATTTGTTCTTTAATCACAATATAATAAAAATGGTATAGCTTGAAGGTATATCATTATGGGTTTTTTTAAATTACTGATACAATGGGAAAACCACAGAATTCTTAATGGTACTCTTCCAATCAGCCAATGAGAAATTCTTGTAACTATAATCTTATTTGTTTTATTTTTTATTTATTTATTTATTTATTTAAAAGATGACCGGTAAGGGGATCTTTACCCTTGACTTGGTGTTGTCAGAACCATGCTCACCCAGTGAGCAAACCGGCCATCCCTATATGGGATCTGAACCCGTGGCCTTGGTGTTATCAGCACCGCACTCTCCCGAGTGAGCCACAGGCCGGCCCTTATTTGTTTTAAATTGGGAGAAATTAGGTAAGTTTTTCTGTGTTCCAAAAATACAAGTGACCTCCAGTGTCATTAAAAACTTTTCATGTCTCATTTCTGAATAAATGCTCCATAAATAAGTGACAATTCCTGTAAGTGAAATTGGGATGAGGCTTCCTCCTATATCAGAATTTTTAATGCTCTTTTTATTGGTCATGTTGTAATATTCATATCAGTATAATTTTTTACATGAAAATATAAATAGCTTGTAGATCACCAGGGATACATAGTAAATTAATTTAAGGCTTTCAGATAATAAATAATCCTTGAAGAAGTTTTTGAGTTACTTAGGACTTAGTTGGATGAAGAAAGATAAAACTGAGGGATGATTTAAAATATTCTTAAGATTTAAAAAATTAAATCTAAGGAAGAGTGATCAAATCTCTATAATTTGGGGGAAGAAGGAAACAAATTAAATAGCTTACCTCAGAACAGAAATATTCAAACAGTAGTCTGCAGACAGGTCCACGATAAATGTTTTACTATACTTTGGTAAAATGAGGAAAATTAGGATGACTAGTAAGTTTTCATAACACTAAAATTATTCCTTTTATAGGACTGCATTTTATTCTGATGCTTTGTCTTTTTCACCTCTTTCTTGGATTTAATGTATTCTTTCTTTTATCAAATAATGATAAGAGTATATGGTAATTTTTAATGCTCCTACTTGGCAAAGCAGACTTCATACCCAAATTTTCTCATGGAAAATTTACCAGTTATGAAATAAAAATAAAAATATAACTGGAAATTATTATTTTATACAGTAGATTCATGTATATTCTCTTTTGGAAGAGATAAGAGTTAATCGGTTTGCTTAGGAAGACAGTTGTAAATGTCCCAGTTGTAAACAACATTGTTTAAAATATTTTCTTCCATAATTTTTAAATTTCATTTTTCCTTTAGTTCAAGAATAATGGCATGATTTGGGTAATAGTTGTCATGTTTCCACTTCTCTGAGTACGTTGGCCGTGCCATATATTACTTCTTAATTAAAAATATGATTAAAATGAACATTAAGAATCAAAATCAGATTTTACCTCATACCTACCAAATCAAAATTTCTAGGAAAACTACATAAAAAATTTTTTTTATTGTGTATCTTTGAAGTTTAAAATCTGGAAACTTCAAATATACACAATGTATACAAATATACATAATATATATAATCTGTATAAACTGGTTTCTCTGGGTGCTTTTAGGTCCAACGACCAGTGTTTTGGAGACTGCATTTGTATTTAGAGTTTGTTTTCAGACTGTCACCACTCTCCTTTCTGGGAGAAGTCAAGAAGTCGCCCTTCCCTCCTGATCCCTCGGCATGCTGAGTCATAAGGCCTGCATCTTCTATCTCCAGACAAACCTTGAATCCATTCATTTTTTGTATCTCTTTTGTTACTGTATTAGTTCAGAATTTCATTATTTCTGGTCAGTCACTTTCTGACTCATCCTCTTGCATCCTTTCTTGCTGTGTCTGCTCTCTTTACATTCTGCTATGGTGCTTAATCTGAAACAGAGTTCTCATTTTTCAGTCCCCCATTTCTGATTCTTCAATTTATGTCCACTGTCTATGGAATGAAGTACAGATTTTTTTTATGATAGCAGAAAAGGTCCCTGTGATCTGATCCCTGATGTTCATCCAGCCTTTGCTCCTACCAGCCTTAGTGGTCTCATTACGGTTCCCTGGGTGC